TTTGTTGATTCGCGACTGATCCTCTTCGCTGCACTGGGTCTTGGTAGAGATGCAGACCAAGTAGAGAAAGGTAAAGATGTTGCATTCGTAGTTGTCCATGGCTGTGTGGATGTCAGAGTCTTGAGTGGTTTTGATCCGGGACATGCCTTGCTCTATTTCCAAGACGCTGCACCTCAGAACACTCTCGATGTCCTTGGCTTTAACAGGCTCGTTTAAGTGTATCATCTGAGAAAAGACTTGAGCAAACCTCAGGAGGTCCTTATGAGTGTTCCTGTTGCCTTTTTGCCTTAGATGCAACGCATGCAGCCACAGCTTGATACACTGTTCAAACTCCATGTTATCTGCATAAACGGCCCCCCGGTAAATAATGGGGTGAGAAACATCGATATTGTCCGAGCCCAGAATTCTCTCTCGCACAATGAGGCCTTCCATGTGAAGGGCATCTCTGTCCTGCCTAATAGACTCTAATTCCTGAGGAGTCCTGCATTCAGTCCTGTTTCCATAAGCTTCAATTTGTGGAAGAACTTCTTTTTCAATTATATTCTCGCTGTCTCGGTACCTCTCCAGCATCGCTAAATATAAATAGTGGTAAGTCTTCATGATATCATAGTTTTCTCTGTCATTTGCAAATGAGGCACCCAGAAGTTCCAGAGCTTCGATCCGGCTCCTCCTATCGCAGTCGGCGTGAGCAAGCAGCAGCTCTACAACATCGGCCTTGCAGCTCTCGGCAGCGACTTTCAGCGGAGTCATCCCATGGCCGTTCACCATCATCGCCGCCTTCCACTTGACCAGCTCCCTCACGATTTCCAAGTGACCGGCTTCGGCCGCGAAGTGCAAGGCCGTGGCACCACAGTGGGCTTTGGCGTTGGGATCGGCATGCTGCTCGAGGAGGTACCTCACCACGTCCGTGTGGCCTTTGTAAGCCGCGATCATAAGGCAAGTGTTGTCGTACTTGTTGGCAATGCTGATGTTGGCATTGTTTTCTACCAGGTATTTCACAATGTCCAGTCTGCCATCGAAACACGCAGCCCTCAGGGGAGTCGAGTTGGTCACTGTAGTGTGATTCACGTTGGCGCCGTGACTCACCAGCAATTTGACTACTTCAAAGTGGCCGGCTCCTGCCGCGCACCAGAGGGCTGTGGCTCCGTCAATGACAAAGCTAAAAACGTAAAGACAGAAACAAGCAGTTAAACTGATGCTCTCTCAAAAGCGTCTTTTTCCAGGCAGCCGAGCAGTACGCAACAGGCACGTACATACCCGGCCATTAAAAAGTATTTTACAGCCACCCTGGTCTTGTACTCGAAGGAACTTACCGGGATGGCCGAGGTAAAAGAACAAGAGACTTATCAAGCACACAGAACTCCCGAAGGAAGAAGCGTTGGAAGCCGAAACTTCAAAGCAGCAGGGATTTAGCCACGTTTTGCACCAGTCCTTCCCAGGCTGCTTTGAAGATCCAACCTGCAAGCTCCAGCCCTCAGCCTACGGAGGTCGCGGGAAGAATAGTTACAAGAATTACCGCTTCTTTGATGCCTCGTGCCAGAAACCCACACGTTAAAGAGAGAAAACTTTAACATAGACACATTGACACAAAAAAACCCCAACGCCGGCACGAATAGCAGTACAGCTACACACAACACCGGGCCTGGCCGCAAAGCTGGCTTAAGAATTTCCTATCACTTGGCTTGTTCTCCCTCCCCGAGTTGCAAAATTGCCACCGCTTCCGCTGCGCCGACACTTCTTGTTCGAGAGACGGCACCCTAAACCAGACCAGCAGTCTGGTCACACAGATGGAACTCCAGGAATAAATTAAAACTTAAAAAAGCAGAAGTTCTTCTGAGCTGGACCATTTCAAAGATCTGTGGCCTTGTAGACCATGATGTCAATCCGCTTGCTGGCACTCGTAATTAACTTTAGCAAAGCATCGCAGCTTCTTAAGCTGTTTTCACACCCAAATCCAGCAAGTAACTACAAAGGTAAAGGCTGAGCACTTTAATGTAGCAGCAGGCGGTGTTCACATCGCAGTTAATACACACTCAAGGCGCATTCCAAATCACAGAGAGGGACAAATCTCTTATATCCATACATCCAAACGGTCATGTTTCCCAAAGTTAAAATATCATAAGGCTCTGACTTAGTTTCAGCAGCTATTTTTATCATTTTACGAAGCTCTCGCGTAGCTCAACAGAACAGTTGTGAGGCCCTTTGTAAACCCAAAGCCTCTGGACAAGGTTTCAGAGGCCATTTAAGAGCTCTGGCACGCACAGATGCCTATGCCTCTAGTCCCAGTAAGAAGTTCCTTATTTTGTAAATAAGCACATTAAAATACTTGTGTATCAAAACAGGAGGAAAGGCAGGACCTAGGATTTGTTAATGAACACGAGGTAATTCATCGGAGTGCTACAGGTATGTATTTACAAGTCAAAAGCCTGGAGCCCAAACAAGCGGAGCTGCTGTGCCACCTTATCTCAAGAAGACCAGGATCACACGCCACCTCCTCCTCTCTTCTCACCAGTCTGCGGCTCCCACTGTGCCCGTTGTGTCCCAGACAACACCACCTCCTTTAATCTGTACCAGGCGGAGGCTCCGGCGAGCAGATCGCCATCCCATCGAGGCACAGCTTGAGAAAATTCAGCAGCAGCGGGGGCTGACAGCCCTTCCTACCGCTTTCTGTCACCAGAGGCCCTTCCTTTAGCTGAATCTGGGGCAGACCTCGGCCTAGGTATTCTCAACAAGTCTTTGCTTGGGAAAAAAAGGGGCTGGAAGAGAAGGAGAAGAAACAAAAAAAAAAAACCCAAACCACCCAGGGAAGTCGGTTCCTCCCCTTTCACTTGGCACTTAAGAGCCAAGCCAGCCTTTCCCTGGGCCAGGGGGAGCTGCACAGGCGTTAACTCCTGCTCGTGGAGCCAGATGGAAGATACCAGTGGGGATCCACAACGATCCCTCTCGCTCGGTATCTGATGTGAGCTCTCCTCTCTGTGCAAGCTGCCTGCAAAACCTGAGAGACCGAGCTGCCGCCAGGATTAGTCAGCCTGACACAGGGGCGAGAACTTGATGAACGGCGTGGGAGGTTTTCGAAAACAATGTTCCTCCTTCCTTCTGCCGTGGCAGCACACCGCTCAGGGACCTGGACATCACTGCCAGGCTTCTCCCAACAAGCAGCAGCAGCACCGCTGCCCCGGCCCAGCCCCCCCTTCCCTCCTTTTCTTCCCTTCCCCTCCCAAAACGTCACACTTCTCCCCTGGCCATCCTGTACACTGGCTCCACGTGTCGAGGGAGGGACGTTCTTTGGGATGTCTGGGCTGGACACTGAAAAATCCTCAGTTTGAGTAAGAAAAGGCCTGGCTCCCGGCGTGCGGGTACCACCCTACCCTGACCCGATGCCTGCTGTCACCCACCACGCGGAGCCATCTCATGGAGAAGGCCATTCTGGCACAGCGGGAGAGAACAGGAGGTGACCTGCTCGCCGAGGGGGAAACGCGATGAGGAGCTCTCCAGGCTGCGGTGAACATCATCCCACCTGCAGCTTCAGGTGGGAGATCTCACGGGCACCAAGCATCAGGGGGGGGGGGGGGGGGTCTCAAACAGCAAAGGCATTTTTATGGCTATGGTTATATATTTAAGGAAAAGAAGGCTGCGGGGAGACCTGATTGCAGCCGTTCAGTACCTAAAGGGGGCCCAGAGGAAAGATGGGGAAAATATTTTAGTAGGGCCAGCTGTGACAGGACAAGGGGGGATGGCTTTAAACTAAACCAGGGGAGGTTTAGGCTGGATCTAAGGAAGAAATTCTTTACAATGAGGGTGGTGAGGCACTGGAACAGGTTGCCCAGAGAGGGGGTGGAGGCCCCATCCCTGGGA